AAAAAGATTTAATGAACAACAGATAATGTACGCTTAAGTCTACGAAATATCAGCTCTGATAGAAATCCCATATATTTTTATCCTTCATAGCCACACGAAGGATGTTGATTACATCTTTTAAAATTGTGGGGAATAAGAATCAGATTCAAAAACATCCATTTTGAAACAGTATTTCTTTCAGATAAAATTAATAGTCAAACCAGTACTTTCGATTCCAAACAAGCCAAAAAAAAAAAAAAAAAAAGGAAAAAGAAAAAAGTCTCAAAGTTTTCAGATTTTAACGCACGCCCAAAGGGATTTGTTAAGGTTTTTTACGCTCTCGCTGAGCTCGCGTTATTACTTTTCCCCCTACTGATCTTTTTTTTTTTTTTTTTTTTTTTTTTTTTTTTTTTGTGTGTGTGTGTGTGTGTGTGTGTGTGTGTGTGTGTGTGGTGTGTGTGTGTGTGTGTGTGTGTGTGTCTTTTAACTTAAACTCTAAGCGTCGTTTCATTCGCACTTTACAATTCAACAGCAAAATTACAAAAAAATGTAAAAGCACCATAGCAGTATACGTTTAAAATTCTCGATGCACCATTAAGTGTTAGCACACATTTTTCTGTCCTCCCCCAGCATTTTCCCGTTTATCATAAATATAAAAATTGTTATATTTAAAATTACTATGATACAGTAAGCGATTCTACCAATTATTAGAACGATGAAGAACGTCGCAGTCTCTGATACTTGTATTTCTTACAGCTTCAGTATTTTCAAAGATTTTTAAGTTTCAGCATTTATACAAATAAAAAAAGATTTTTTAAAATTTTAAATTAATTCTCTGGAACATATCAATTTTGTCATATTTACAAATTACCGTTTTGCTACATAACGACATAATCCTAGCATTGCGCATTACATTGGCTCTGCCCATGTACACATCGATCTATTTTCACTTAAAGAAACATCCGAGAATTGCACAAACTAGGCACCGCGCACAACCTCGGCATTGCGCACTACATTGGCTTTACCCATGTACATATCGATCTATTTTCGCTTAAAAAAACATCCGAGAGTTGAACAAACTAAGCACCGCGCACAACCTCGGCACTGCGCACTACATTAGCTTTGCCCATGTATATAGCGATCTCTTTTCACTTAAAAATCAGACATTGAATAAACTCTGCATTGCTCATATACTAAGAAATCTAGTTTCACTTAAAAGAAATCGGAGCATTGCAGAAACTCGCGCATAACCAACTCCATTGATTCCCGTTGTTAAAAAAATGTTTCCGGAAAAATTGAGCTTACTACAGGTGAACCAAGATCCTAGTCTAATTAATTTCTCAGCCCTACACTTTTTGTATCTCCAAATACTACCATTCGATGACTTTTTCTGACTAACTAACCAGCACGGTACCTTACATTTTTCACAACAAACGTCCTTCAACAATAACATTCCTTCAATAATCCATAGTCCATCAAAAATCCTCTAAAAAGTTCATACTCTCTTTTAATTCATATATAAAATATCTGTTTCCAAAATTTTACGGTTGTTTGAAAACTCCCACCATAATTTTGCCTTTATGATCTCCTGATACTTAATTATATCACTAACAGCAGTTTTAGAGCAAGAAATAACTAAACGCAAAAATATCACCTCCAAAGTAACCAAAAAAATATATACAATATAGTATTCACGGTACCTGAGCGTTAAACAATCGCCAATAACAGTATTACGAATTGTGTATTTAGATATTAATTTTAGTAGAATTATAATTTAAAATGTTGTATTTCCCCCTGCAACGCAGCGTGAGACAAATTTTAAGAAAAATCTATACCGGAAAAGTAAGAATACAGGGCACGTGCATTAAACTTTGAGTAAACGGATATCTTGGTAATTTGTATTGAAATTGAATAAATGTAACTGACTACTATATTAGCTGTAACCGTAATTCCATCCTTTTGTTTACATTGTGTTTGGCGAATAGTATGGGTTACCAGGTCATATCATTTATCGCCGTTCTTGGCGATATTTTTTGTTTAAAATTCTGGGTGGGCTATACTAAAGCTGTGTCTTTAACAGATTTAAATCCGATAGTTTTAACTAATTTTAGAATTAAAGCAATCGCTTTATCCCTTTATCTACTGACGGTACTTATAAGTACCAATTACTTTAAAACTTTATAGCACAGTAACCATTATTCATATTCTGATGGTACGTTTTAGAAACAGTCTTTTAACTCTACTTTTTCATGATAGATGACAGTAGTTGTTCTAGGCCAGGGGTCGGCAACCTACGGCTCGCGAACCACATGCTGCTTTTTGGATGTGAAGCTGTGGCTCTTTAGTTCCATATGGAAATATTATTTATTTTATCAAAAAAATATTTAAAAATCGTTCTGAATTTTGAAATGTTGTAAATTGTAATTTTTGATTCTTCCGACTCAAAAGGTTGCCAACCCCTGTTCTAGGCTGATGAATTTTGCGAAAGCTATTTTCGAACGAACATTGTGTTCTTTTGCTGCCATTTTGTACGGATTGCTGCTCTTATCTCTCTTTGCTATAAATATATAATATCAAGCCAAAGGTTAGTATTGTATTTTTTTTTATTTATTCTGTATTGTCTTAGAATATTATTTGCCCAATCATTATAAGATAACAGATTATGTAACGTGATTAACGGTCGAATTATTCAGTGGTACTTATAAGTACCGCCAGTACATGTCGTTTTGGAGAAAAACTTGTTTTCATTTTGTCCATGTAATTATCTATTGTATTTCTGTTTGTTATGATGTAATTATGAAAGTGTAGTGTAGCAATATGTTTTAGTATTTTTTATAGATTTCAATTATAGATTTTTTAAAATTATTTATTTATTTATTTTTTACTAACATTGTCAAGAGCATTTGAAAATGTTAGTATTGAATGTGAATTTGCTTTTGCATTCCGAATAAAAATAAGCTAGATTTTAATTATTTAGTGTGTGTGGCTAAAAGAAATGTACTTCACGTAAAAAGTTTTCAAGCAATAGTAAAAAAGTCTTTCCTTTTTTTTAGAATGCCCCGAAAGAAAGGTCTCACCATTCAGGAGGCTTTGGATATGTTGAAAGACCTGCCATCAGAAAATAGTGATATCATTGATGATTCATCTGATGAAGAATTTTCAGACAATATATTACAGAAGTTTTCATCAGATTCTGAAGATGTTAACTCGGTAACGGAAGAAGACCCTGAATGCAGTGAGAAGGAAAATCAAGAGCCAAGTCCTGGAAAAAAAGCAGTCTCTACCTCGAAATATATAAGGAAAATTGATAGACGTTGGAAGAAAAGAGATGTTCAGACTCAGGTTTCCATTTCTTCTCTAAAATCTGGATTTGTAGATAATATTTTTGATTCTTTGCTTACTCCAACATATTTCCTTCTAAAATTTGTTGATGACCTTATTTTGAAAATATCTTTTTTTAGACAAATCTGTATATAAACCAAAATAACAAACAAATTACGCCAATAACTGGACGAAGAGATCTATGGATTTACAATTTTTATTCGGATACCTCAGATTACCTAGAACTCACATGTACTGGTCATGTGATACAGATACTTCAGGAAATGTGCTCCCCCAAACAATGACACGGGATCGATATTTTCAAATATTATCAAATATCCATCTAAATGACAATTTATCAATGCAGGAAAAAACTCTGATAAAATGTAAAAGCTGAAGCCCTTTATTTCTAGTTTGAATGGAAATTTTCAGAACTTTAGGATAGGACACATCCAGGCAGATATGTCCGGATATACATATGAATTTGACGTTTATCAAGGGAAGCAGACTAATAGTGACAGCTCAAAGAGAGGATTTGGACTGGGCGGGACAGTAGTTGATGAGATGACAAATAGTCTGGCAGGCAAAAACCATATCATCATCATGGACAATTTCTTTTCTTCCGTGCCACTAGTTGAGTATTTGAAAACGAAAATTACATATGCAGTCGGCACCATTCGTCCTGATAGACTTGGGTTACCCAAACTTATTGATGATAAAAAAATGAAACGAGGGGACTTAGATTATCAAACATCTGATCAAGGAAATATCCTTTTTCAAATGGAAGGACAATCGATCCGTACACTTTCTTTCGAATTATCATGGAAACGACACTGCCAAAGTCCAAAGGAGACTCAAATGTTGTACCAAAATTGACGTTCCATTGTTGTAAAAGACTACAATGGACAGATGGGGTGAGGATTGATAAAGCCGACATGTTGCGTGCTATTTATGGTAGGGACAAGAAATCGAAAAAATGGTGGCACTATTTTTTTTTCTCTCTATACTAGAAATGGCATATGTAAATTCCTATATTGCATATGTGGAAGTGCACCGTGAGAAAATGTCGTCCCTCGAATACAGGCGCTGCATTACAAAAGGAATACTAGCAAAATCAAAACCACAACCAAAACGAAAAAGGAGACCTAAATCTAATGGAGATGAACAAACGTTTTGTGCAAAAAAGAGAAGAAAAGAAAATTTGTCTGTTTCTAATGATGTTCGTTTAGAAAATAGAGAATGCCATTGGCCAACATTCGTATCGAATCAAGGACATTGTGAATTCTGTGCACTCAAAAATATTCAATCAAAACCACATTCAAAATGCTCAACTTGTAATATATTTTTGTGAGTAAATAAAAAAAAATTGTTTTTATGATTATCATCAAATGTGAACTTCTACCTTTATTATGTATAAAATAAAATTATGTCAATTTGATAATTTCGTTTGGTTATTTAGCATTTTTAAGAGGTTAAATTTAATTAGAAATATCATCCGTAATTTTTTTCTATCATGAGGAAATCTATACATAGTGTACTGACAGTACTTTTAAGTACCACTTTAATGAATTAGTTCTAATAAATTAAATTTCGCACGGGGGAAATTTTTTTCCTTGTATATTCTTTAATTATCAATATGGCAGCTAAAAAATATATATATTTATGAAGAAATTTTCAGTAGTCCATAATGCAGTAGATAAAGGGTTATCTTCTGATATAGAAAAGGCATTTAACAATTTCAAATCGATCCAGAATATAGAGATTTGCTACGCTTCTTGTGGTGGGATAAAGGAAATATTGTTGAATTTAGGAACTGCAGAGTAGTTTTTGGTGTTTGCTGTTCTCCATTTCTTCTTTCAGCGTGCCTAAATAATTTGTTAGAAAATCCACTTGAACATCTAAGCAAGATTGCAAAAAAGTTAAAAGGCACATTCTATATGGATAATTGTCTTTCTGGTGCTTCTAAAGAAGAAGAAATCGAATCACACATTAATGAAGCCACAGAAGTGATGTCTACAGCTGTGTTCAACCTTAGGGGTTGAAAAAGTAGTTTAGATTTGAATGAGAGTCCAGAAAATGTGCTCGGTCTTCAGTGGTACCGCCCATCAGATGAATTGGGATGCCGAGTAGCATCTTGGTCATAAGTTCCCACAAGACGAATTCTCCTTTCATCCATTCAGAAAGTTTTTGAGCCTATATATCTTCACCAGTTCTTCTTATTCCAAAGATTGTTTTGCAGAAGACTTGGAAATTAAAGTCTAACTGAGACGAGGAACTACCAAAAGACATTCAGAAAGAATTCATTAAATGATCTACAGAAATACATTTTTTGAATGACCGCCGAATCCCAAGAAGAATTTTCATTAATTCAACAAGCTCTTTACTTATCTTCTGTGATGCAAGTAAACCAGCTTATGGTGCCTGTATATTTTTTAAGAACGGAAGAACATGAAGAAGTTTACTTGATTCTTGTTTTAGCAAAATCCCGACTTAGCCATCGAAAGAGATCACTTTAACCGCGGTTGGAATTAATGGACGCGCTTCTGGGTGTAAGATTATATCAATTGGCTATTAAAAGCTTGAATGGTATAAACACGATGACTTATTTTTGGTCAGACTTTTCAGTGGTTTTAGCATGGCTAAAGAAGCGAAATAATTGGTCTGTTTTTGTAGAAAACCGAGTATTCTAGCTAAACTTGCCTCCAGATTTTCGAAATGCTCTATGATTGTACGAACTATTGTCTGTATGTTAAGATTTCGACCCACTTATATGAAAAACACAAATTGTTTGGCTAATATATCCGCTGAAGAATTCGAGAAAGCAGAAAAAACTGTATTTTTTTCTTATACAAAAGGATGCTTCTGAAGAAGAACAAAAAAAGTCTGATCTGAAAAATCTTCAGATTTTTGTTGATGAAAATGGAATTTTAACCCTCTAAGCGGCAATGCCATGTATATACGGCCTACAATATTTTTTGTGATATCTGTAAGACCATATATATACGTGCATATTAAAATATCTCAAAGAAATTAAGGCAAGATATAAAAAGTACAGAAATTCAGGTATGAAATACCAGAAGACATTTTACATTAAAATAAAAAAAAAAAAAATTTGTCTTAAAAATTCACTTTTTTTAATGGTTTCTAATAGCAAACTACTACATATTTCGAAGCTAACCCTTCACGACCATATGTTTTTATAAAAGTATAATTCAAGAATAACAAAAATTTTTATTGCATTATTCAGATTTTTCATGACAGAGAAAGGAAATTTCATTTGAGGAAGGAGCGAAATTTTGTAAGGGAAAGAATGTAACATTATGTACTGACTAAAATTGTAATGAAACGTAAAGGTATTAGAAATTTGAAAGTATTTGGAAGAGCGAGATTGGAAAATTAATACCATTAAGTAAATAAGAAAAATTATTAATGATGTGAAAGTGTTTCAAAGGAACGCAGTTGATTAAATGAAGAAGCTTTACGGATAATTTTTGAAGATCCCAAATGTCATTAAGTGACCGCCGTACTTAGCTAAAAAATTCTTTTTTTCCTTTCGAAATTTAATTCATATTCCCTAACGAGAAATTTCAGCGCTTTTTCAATTTGGCCAATATACACCAAACAGCACGATACATATCAAACAATGCTAAATTAACACAATAAATTAAAAGCACACATGAGATCTTTAAGAATCTAAAAATGAATTTTACTGATAGGTGAAAAATAACTTAAATATTGAACTTATGGATAAGTCGAGAAATTTTGTAATTCATAGTAGGTTTGAACTTATGGATAAGTCGAGAAATTTTGTAATTCATAGTAAGTTTAAATAATTATTGGGTACGTGTCAGCTAAACGTCGCTGTCGGCTTAGTGTCCTGTTGACCAAATGTCTTGATATTTAAGTGTCCCGTAGCTAAATGTCCTGAAGGCTAATTCTCTGTGTCGGTCAAATGTCCTGTCGGCTAAGCGTCCGTTTCGGCTAAATGTCCTGTCGGCTAAGTGTGCGTGTCGGCTAAGCGTCTGAGTCGATTAAATGTCCTGTCGGCTAACTGGTGTCGGTTAATTGTCCCGTCGGCTTAGTGTCACGGACCCATTATTATATACCTCATTCAGTTGTTGTAGGATCGGATAGAGACACTAGATTAGTTTTCGATGCATCATCAAAGGGTAATAGGTGAAAGACTATGAATTATAATGAATGCTTTAATGAATTATATAATGAATGCTTGAATTCTGGGCCACCGTTGAATCCCAACGGTGGCCCAGAATTTTAGATGTGATCTTACAATTTCGCGAATACGAATATGCATTCTTCAGTGATATTCAGGGAGCATTTTTGACCACAGGAGTATCGGAAGAGGATAGCGATTACTTACGATTTTTTTGGTTTCCAGATGAAAATGATTCGAAAGCTTTCAAAATTTTACGAACGACTCACGTGCCCTTTTGAGTGACATCAAGCCCGTTTATCCTTGCTGCGACTATTAAATACCACATACGAAAATATAAAGATGAACAAAGCGAAACTTTTGAAATGCTTAACTCGGCACTTTATGTGGATGATTTTTTTTACGGAGCAAATATTATAGAGAAAGCTTTAGATTTTTCATAGAGTGCTGTAAAAATTCTTAAAGATGCGAACATGAATTTAAGAAAGTTTAACACTAATTCGGATGGATGAGTTGAGAAATTTATGACGCCAACGAGGTATGTATGATGTGAGGGAAGCTAACGAACGTCCTTTGAAGGTTTTTATGCATAATATTGAACATAGAAGAAGATAGTTTAAATTAGATGTGAAACCCCTTCTTGACATGATTGTTGATTTGAAGAATTTAAAATGAAGTGCACTTCAAACGGCGTCGAAGTTATTTGATCCTGTGGGAATTGCTTCCTTTTTTATGGTTCACATAAAATTATTAATTTAAGAAATATGGGAACCTGGATTAGGATGGAACGATGAACTATCAACTGCACTGACGAAAAAATGGGAAAATTGGTGCTCTCAGATTCATCTTTTGAAAGATTTGCAATCGAAAGAAAGTATTTCTCCTTCCTATTGAATTTAGTGAAAGAATTAGAACTGCATATATTTAAGCTTAGTTTCTCTAGATTGGCAACGAATCCACTGTTCTGCTAAGTTTCAAATGTAAACAAATATGGCTGCTATGGTAAAAAAAATTAGGCTTAGCCGCACTTAAACAACTTTTAAATTGTTGATAATTCTACAACTATAACATACAGATTAAATAAAGGCATAAATACCTTAACGGAAGGAGTGAGTATATATATGTATATATATTCAAAATAAAGTAACTAAAAGTAAGTTAAAAAGCCTTTATAAATTATTATGAATTATGTATGTATATATATATATATATATCATATTTGTATACTTTTGGTGCGGCCGATTGCAACCAAAAAGGAAGGTGCACATCTACATGTTATAGCAGTCCCACATACAAAGTTTCAACGTCTGAGACTATTCGTTTTTGAGTTATGCGAGATTCTTACGTACGTACATAGAGACGCCACGAAAAAATCTCTTCTGAATCCATTTTAAATCAATTTTATAATTCGTTTAGGGGAAAAGATTTCTTTATTCTCTCCTTAAGTACAGATATCACGCAAAAAGACCATTAAATTGCAGTCAAAATGGATATTATCGCTGAAATATGGTACCTGGAATTTTTCGTGATTACAGTACTTCCTTTACTTCGTACAAGGAAGTAAAAAATGATTGGTTAGCTTTATTAACACATTGAACTTGTTCGTAGACGAGAGTAATAAGATTCGAGGTTTATGCAGAAATTATTTTCTTCTAGTTAGAAATATCTGAGATTTATTTTCACTAATACTAACCATCTGTTGCAA